GGGTTGAGATTTTTGACCTATCAACCCGTTTAATTCTTGGGTCAGGTTTGGGTTCGCTGGTCATGCTGCCAACCCGCCAAGTATATAGGATTTAAAAAAATATGTTTAATATTTATTAATTATTTGGTATTTGTTTGAAGCATGCTCTAGAAGGCTAAAATCCATGCATGTTTTAGTAATTTGTCGCTTTATCAACAACATTGCTTCAAATTTAGCGTATATACTTAAATATTATTTAATAATTAATTTTAGAGACGTGTATAATACATATAAATTTAATATGTGAAAAGTTAAACTAAAACCGACCCGCTGACCCACTGACCCGAAACTGACTCACTAACTTGTATAATTAAACATGTTATGTTTGTTGTGTACAAGTTGATGCTTCCAATTCGCCAACCAAATTACATATATGGATTAGGTTGACTTGACCCACCAACCACTGCCTGCGAACCCAAAAATAATGTGCCATGTATGATACATTTGGCAAACTAGTTATTAGGGGAAAGTACGCTTGACAAACTAGTTATCAGGGGAAAGTTTCCTCTAATAATTTATTTTTTCCAAATGTATCATATATAACATCCTTATTTTCATGATAATTTTTGAAAATTCAATACTTATCATTAGTCCAAGTATTTGTAACACCTGGACCTACAGGTATGATTTTCCTTGAAATATTTTGGCATTAAGTGTATTTCTAAGTCTTACACGGGGCGTAGGATGGCCTCTTACGCTCAGCGTAGGAGAAAGACTTCTTATGTGCATTTAATGACTTACGTTGGGCGTAAGTCTAGCTACGCAGCGCGTAGTGCACAGGATCAAAAACCCTAATTTTGGGTTTGTAAAACTATTTAAAAACTATAACCCTCTTGAGGGCCTCTTCATACCCAACCTCCATCCTCCTATCCAGTCCCTTCGAAACCCTAACCATTTTTGTGAGAACCTTGAGGTTTTAAAGTGTTATTATGTGCTCCTTTGAAGAAGAAGACATTTGGAGAAGCATCTAGGAGCTCCAAGCCTTGAAGATCCAGATCATTTATCTTGTTGTCCACCTTCAAAAGGTATCAAGTTACCATCTTAGCAATCTCTCATGCTAGATCCAGTTAGTTATGCATTGTGTATGCTTTTTGTCCCGTAACTTTGGTTCTTGTGAGTAAGATCTAATCCAGACCACTTTTCTTGTTTTTGGGGTTGTTGAATCATAAAGTTGAGAGCTTGATCACTCCCATCTACCCCATGCATGAGATCTTGAGCATTAGTGCACTTTATGGACTTAGGGTTTAGTTTATTACTCATTTATGGCATGCAAATGGGTAAAGTCAGAGACTTTATCAATTAATTCGTCCTTTTGGTTCATATCTGGAAGTTTGAGGAGCTAACTTTATGTATTAAGAGCTTAATAGTTTTTGACATTCAGACCAATATGCGAGGTGTAATTCTTGCTACGCTTGGCGTAGCTTGGTTTTGGCCCGTAACCACTTAAGCTCTACGCCATGTGTAGACAACTTATACGCAGGGGGTAAGAGGGTAAACTGAGAGGGTATTTGAAACATCCAAAAATATGGTCCCAAAAATTTCAATTTGATAATAAATAAAATAGTATTTTCCCACAACATCCGAACACATAATAAAACCAATGTATCAATTTATCATAAACCAGAGTAAAACATCATAGCGGAATCCCAATGGTGTGTGTGTGTGCAATTCAGTCATCCCGAGCTCTTCCCTTTACAACCGGGGAAGTACCTAAAACATAAACTAAAAATCGTAAGCACAAAGCTTAGTGAGTTCCCCCAAAATACCACACATCGAACATACAATAAACATATAGTGGGCCCCGCCCGTCATCGGGCCCCGCTCGACTTCGGACCCCGTCTGGCATCGGGCCTTGCCCGACATCGAGTTGAGCTCGGTAAAATGGGCCCCGACCAACATACAATAACATATATCAAAATAAACACATACTCATGCAATAATCACAGAGATACATATGATACATACATCCACCAGGCCCTGCTCGGCATCGGGCCTTAGCCCGGAAGACATATAAACGCAAGCACATGCAAGAGTCACGAATACAACTAGCATAATAACAACATAATATAAACATGGGCCGACATTGGTGCCATCGACCCGCTAAACCCGATAAGGAAACTCATCTCGAATACCGAAAGGTAGCTGAACGGATCCCAACTCCGAATATCGACCCAAGTCAACCCCTAAACATAAAATATTTCCTTAAGTTCAGCACAAAATGCCCAGAAGCCCCTTATAGGTTAAACTTGGTCAAAGACTAAAGTCAAAGTCAAAGTCAACAATTCGAGTTAACTCAACTCGCCGAGTTCATCCATTAACTCGTCGAGTTTAGCTATCAGTCTGCAAAGTCGGGAGAAATCGATCCAACTCGCCGAGTTCCTCCATAAACTCGTCGAGTTCGCCAAAAATTTAACATCTTAATCCATTAAGCCGTCCTTAACGAAAATAAGAGCTTCATGACTTAGATCTTAACTGAAATGGCCTCAAGAAGGGTAAAGTTTCTAACTTTACCCCTAAGAACCACCAAAATGGGTTCAAAACCCAAACCCTAGGCTTAAAAGAGTAATGACTTAATCATTAAGCACTAAATCACCAAAGGCATAACCCCAAACTGTATATCTGACCCTAAAAGCTGAAATACCACGTAAAGTTTCCAACTTTATCTTCAAGCATGCTTAAAAGGAGCTCAAGTGCTCAAAAGAAGCCATAAGATGGAGTTAATGAATGCATGGAGCCCTTAAGACCATAAAGTCGGCACCTTTATGCCAAAAGAGCTCATGAGGATCATAGATCTGAAAGAATAGCACCTGGAACGTCCTACAACCCCATCAACCACCCAAACATGACTAAAAGCATCTAAACTAATCCAAAAAGAGATCTAATCAAATATTAAGCAAGGTTAGAACTTTATACTCGAAATATGCTGGAAATGATGCAAAGAACCAAGATCTGAAGGCTTCTACTTGAATCACCACCTTGCACCAAACTTCTCTTCCTTCAATAAGCTTAAAACACACCAAAACACACCCACAATAAGCTCACAACACTCAAGGAGACTCTAGGGTTTCGAGATTAGGGTTAGGGGCTATGGAGGCTAGAAATTAGGCCAACACCTGGGACTTAAGGTGTTTAAATAGGGTGCAAAACCCTAAAATTAAGGTTTCCTCCCCTGCTGCCAACTCACCGAGTTGAGGCACCTAAACTCGTCGAGTTGACTCATTAAACTCCGCGGTCAAAAAAACTTCAACACGTCGACTTGAGGCTTCCAACTCGACAAGTCCTCCAGGAAAAAGCAATAATTTGAAATAAAATCATACCAGAAACCAGGCGTTACAATATTCTTTATTGTTGTTAGCTGTCTTGTTGCTCCTGTGTACCCTGTATGTGTGAGACTTTTTGTATTTCTAACTGCTATTCGCAATGTGAATTTTCTCACTATCTTGGCTTGCATGGTATATATGTTTGTGACCAACTGGGTCTTAATTGCTGATTATCGTTATGTGTGAATTGAATTGAACTGGTGATAATTTCTGGATTGCTGAAAATCAACAGGGTTGCTAATAACCCCTGAAACGTTTTGTTAATCCACAGGGTGTGCTGTTAGCCCACTGAGATTGCTGATAATCCTCAGGGTTGCTAATAACTCATAGTTGTTTATTATGATGTGTTGTATGAATATTTTGCTAATAAACCAAATTCAATTTTTTTTACATAAAAGTAAATCTGTAAAACAGAAAAACTAAGGTTGGAATAAATTTGTGAGAAAAATTTAAAACTTAGAAGTGTAAATATGAAAAACAATAATCAACATTATGTAGATGGTATAACAAGCAGGGGAAAACATGATTTCGTAGTAGATGTTGTCGGTGAAACATTTTTTTATGTATTGGCCCAACAGTAGAAAAAAAAAATTCTAAAATTTTTGCACTGCGTCCAAAAAAAACAGGGATTGCCAGTGCCATATGAGCATCATAGTGGAACCGCCTCTGTCCTGTGATAACAAGTCGTGAGAGGAATTTCACAGTTAGTTATGTTTTAATTTTATATAAAAAAGAAAAATTAAGTAAAATAACTATCATAAATGAGGTTTTTTTTAAATTATTTTTTAGTTTTGAAAATATAATAATTTTCTTCTTGAATGGTTTACTGTAGACGGTTCTTTAATTTCATAGTATTTTTGCAAAAAGTTTTTCAAAAAAATCTTTCTATTTATATCTAAACTGTTGATTTCAAAGTATTTAATATCATCGATTTTTAATTAAATATTTGATTTAAGCCATATTATAATATATATTTCATATTTACTATGTTTGTTTAATTTTTTTGTTATATTTTATAATTTTTTTCTCAAAGTTTTGAAACTGTTCATCGGATTTCGGATTTTTTTCTTAAAATTACGAAAAAAAAAATTCGAACTCTGAAATTTTAGTCCGGAGTCTTGAATATCAATCTGAAATATATTTTTTTGATGGGAAAATATTTTTCTCTGTCTGATATCCTCTATTTCATACTTGATGGTTATTTTTCCAAAAACTGTTTTTGGTTATTTTATTCAAATAAACTTTTTATTATGGTTAAAGTACTCAATTTCCTTATACATATAGTTGGTTATTTCAACACAATTAGAACAACATATTTTTCAAAAACAATGTTAATCGTAAAACAAATAATATTTTTGAAGAAAAACTTTAACGTGTTTTTAAGCAGAAATATAATTTTAATGTTAAATTGTGTAAAAAGTTCAGTATATAAATGCGTATAATAAACGTAATTTGTTACACGTTAAAGTCGTTAAACACCGAAAGAGTTGTTGGAAACTGGTTATACCAACTATTGTCGATAAAAAAAAAAAAAAAACTATCATTTTTAAACAGAATTTTAATATTAAAGCACAAAAAAATAAAATAAAAATAAATGAATATATACACATAATTTGTTACCCGACTCATTAATTTTTGAACCATCCAATCATGTCGACTCTTACTTATATTTCCACTCTTTCTTTTCCCTTTCTCTATTCTCAAGTAGCTTTAAAGAGGGAGAGAAAGAGGTTCGTTTTTTCAGTTTGAATATACAGCAATTTCTATGTGTGAATTATGATTGAGGAAACGTGTACAAGCGGATGTGAAAGCACAGAAGAGGTTTCAGCAATGGAAGTTCCAAATTCCGATGGAGACGTCCGGCGGAGTAGAGATACAGATGTTACAAGCTCTGGCACCGGTAAGAGAAGAAGATTGGATTCTCAAGATCAGGAGAGTGTTTTTCAGCTTCGGTTTCGGTCTCGACGTGAGATTGACGTCAATTTCCATGAGAATGTTGTTTTGACGGCGGTGTCTGGTGTTTCTGATCATGTTTCGTCGTTTATGTGCTCTATTATTGACGATTCCAGACCAGATCTGAAGGTTTGAATTCAAAATTCCAGTAAATACAACGCTTGTTTTTTTCCTAGAAGCTGATGAATTTGCTGTAGATCTAAACTAATCCGAATCTGTTCATAATTACAGTCGGAGTGTCTTTCCGAAACAGAAATCTTCACGTTCAGCAACGACGGTTTCAGGTAAAATCAATTAATCACTCTCAATTATGATTCTGTTTCAATTTTGATCAGTTCTACCGTTTCGTTTTTGTCTATTTACTAAAATTTTGTGTTCATGTTTGTTAATTTACAGTAGAGAGACATCTGCATCAAGTGTGGTTTCCTTGGAATCAGAAGAAATGGAGTACTCGTTATCCACATCTACTCCACAGAAGAAGAAGAAGAAGACCGGAGCCGCAAACGACGCTACTTCCGGTCGTAAACCACCACCGGAAAAGTCTCCTTCTCCGGCTGAGCTTGAAGAATTTTTCTCAGAAGCGGAAAAGTACGAACAGAAACGATTCACAGAAACGTAAGTAGCTATGGCGATTTGTTCATGATGCACATACACCACTCTTAACGTGAACCTCCACTATTCCTCCACATGCGCATTGTAGAATTTGGAGTACAATCATTATTTCCAACTAATTTTTGTTTTTACTGTTCATCAGGTACAACTATGATATCGTGAAAGATGTTCCAATGGAAGGAAGGTACCAATGGGTTCGATTAAAGCCATAATCAATGGATCCAATCAGCTGTCAAATCGAAAGACATATCATCTAGTTCTTGATTATTCTCCACTTCTACTAATTTCGAATTTTAATTTCTGTAACTATTTTCCCTTTTTGGGTTTCTGTTATGACAACAATTTAGGCTTTATCTCGTAATCTAACCTTTCTTCTTCCATTTCTCCGTCGTTAGAAGCTTCTTCTTCTGCAACATAACTATTAACAAACAATTCTACACTCTCTCTCTTCTGCAACTGTAATTTTGTGGGGGCATATATGGGACAATTCCTTGCAGCCTGCTACAAATCCGGGTATAAATACTTTCTTACAATTATGTTTAGTTATTTTCAAATAATTTTGGGAAATTTTGAGAGTTAAAATTTTGATTGTGATCATAATTTCCACATGAAAGAATCTTGTACAACATGATGATGGTTATAAAAGTTCCCTTTTTTGTGAAGGGTCCTTTGCGTTGAGCCGTTTGTGTTTTTTGATCATTTCATCTCGTGTTATTTTGTTGTCATGTGCACTTTTTTGGCCTACATTTATTGCTTTTCCAATTTTGGAATTTTATCTTTCGAGATTCTTACAATTATATCTTTTTGCATCTTTATAGAACTTTTATCTATATAAAGCAACAAGTTTTATTGTTTTCAAAGACATTTACGTATAAAACTGGTGAATTAGTTAAATAAAAATGTGAAATTTGTTATGTTATTATTATTAAAGAATTATAAAAATGAAGAATAAGCGAAGGCACGTGCAAGGATCGTGCTTCGGATCCGATGCAACGATTTGTAGTTTTGTACTTCCCCAACGCTCCTATGGCAAAATCGAGACCCGTGAAGGAAAGAAACAAGAGAATGTTGCTTGCTATATCTATTATCTTTTTGTAATTAAATAATCAAAAATAAGTGTTTGGTACTTTAAAATATATTTTAATAGGATAATTAAGATAAATGGTATAGGATACTTGAATTATGAGTAAAACGTTTATAATTTATACATTTCAACCTTTTAACTTAAATGTGGCTATCTATCGAAAATTTTAGAAAAACATTACACATGTTATATTTTTACATCGATGCAGAAAACAAATGGTAACAAGTTGTGTCGATAACTATTTTTGGATGACAGTTGGACCCTATTGATGAACTTTATATCCTTTGTGTAAGGAACCAAAAGTATCAAATCTGAATCATATAAACACATGTTTGATTTTTCATGCACGCTTTTTTTCGTTTTTGTTCTCATTGCATGGGCTCTTCCCACCGCGAAACCTCTGCTCCTAAAGCATGTAATATGGGAAACCCATGTTTGCTCCACGCATGCATGTTCACCTTATACCCATCCAAAACCAAAATATGAGTTGGTCAAAGTGTTGATCTTGCTTTTAATGAGTCAGTTAAGAAGTCCATAAATGCTTATCTAAACGAAAACTTCAATATCACCTAAAAAAGAATATCTATAACCATATCATGTCATTATTTGAAACATCTAAGCTCTCTACAATCTATTACATGCTCCCCAAAAGGAGTCCAAGCATACCTTGCGACAAATTGGTATATCTCATCAACCGGGAATCGTTGAACCATAATGTAATATTTAATCATTATATGATAATCCACTGGCGATATATGTTGGACAACATTATCTATAAGAATATCCAAAAGAAAATTGTTAGCATGTAGTGCTCGTTTACCAAGATAGTGTTGTAAAACTCGCCGAGTTGGCCGATTACTCTTCCGAGTACTCGCTACTCTGCCCCTTACCGAGGCGAGTTATAGAATCTCGAATACTCCCCAATCGGCCTCTTACTGAACTGAACAGTGTTGTAAGAATCGTTCAACTCGGTGATTAATATATACAATATACTTAATGATTTATTATTTAACACACATACATGTGATTATTACTACATATATATCGTATACTTTCAGTAATTATTCACGAAGTGAGACCATTATGTGTTTTTCAGTTTTTGTGTATTCACATGTATCTAGTTTTGTTATATATTTCAATAAAATTATGATTTTAACTTATGATTTTGACATATATAATTTCCTTAAAATTATTTCTTCATGAATTACCGAATCCGAGTACTCCCCGAGTACTCCCGAGTACTCGCTACTCGGTAGTCGGCCGAACAGGCACCGAGTAACGAGTTCTACAACCTTGTCTTGACATTCTTTCAAACCCCAATCATATACATGTCACCCAGATGATGTCCAATACTCTGGCTACCTCCTATGAATCTCCATCACAATCTTATCCTCAAGATACCATGCGTGAAGATGAAGCTTGTAATTTCTCTAATCTTATGCATAAGTGGATGCAATGCAAGAGTAAAAAAGAAGTGGTCCCAAGGGGTTTCCTTGTTGAACCTCAATAATAGAAAAAATATGTTTGTAACCCAAATACAACCTTTTTTGTTGTTTATATAAAAAAAATTACAAGATACACATTAGTGTGACGCTCACTAAACACCATACTGACACTATGCAGTACGGTCTCAATGCCACCTAACACCCCTAAACTGAAAATCATTATGGTATATTGCCATTTCTTTAACAACAACTTTCAAGGAAACTAGACACCACCATGTAATGTCCAGATCAATAGGCCAAATCTTATTGTTGGAATTAAGAGATGCATTAGAAGAGCGGACTCAACAAACTCTACCAAACTTGATGGACATCATCCCTCAATCACATATTAATCACTACGACAATTCACTTAAGAGATTTGTGGCTACATCAGACCCATTTCCGTTAAGAGCATCCAAATTGTATTTTTACCATCAATCCATACATAAGGTTCTTCTTGGATAACGATTTAATACAACCAAAGACACTATCAATCTCAACTACAAAGGAAGGCTAGCAAAATATGTTGCTCGATATGGAAGGCCGTTGTAACACCCAATATGCTAGGTAAACTCTTAGCATCTTATTTTCTTTATTTTGGCTTAAGGACCATAATACGATGGGTGTATATAAGGTGCGTCGGGGCGTACTTCAATGACTACATGAGACGTGGTAGCCCCTGGTACGCTGGGTGTACCTATTTGTACGGTGGGCGTACGTCAGTCAGTGGAAAACACTAATTTTTAGCGTTTGCACCTTATTTAAACACATTATGTCCCCAAGCTTTCACCTTATCAGCCTCCATTGCCTCTTTTGAGCTATATCTCGAAACCCTAACCCATTTATCAAGAAATTGACCCTTGTGTGTGTTTTGGTGTATGTATGGTACTCTTTAAAGAAAAAGGAGCCTTGTAGAGGAGCATTGATCAAGTGGGAGCTTGTAGATTCAGAGGTTATTCACTATTTCTAGCTTATTGGAGGTATAAAGCTTCTATCCTGATGACTCTATCTGTTAGATCTAGTCTAGGGCTTGTTTTGAGCATATTATGGTCCCTTGAGTCATCCTTGTGAGTATGAGCTACTCCAGGAGCTTAGAATGTAGATCTTAGAATTGTTGATGTTGTTAGGGCATAAAAATGTCATCTTGATAGGTTTTGATTAACCATGCAAAGGTTTGTGTTCATTTCATGTGGACAGAGTGTTAAAGTTATGTTTTGGGGCTTATTAAGCTATGCAAAAACATAAAGATTGCAACTTTATGGCTTAATGCGTTTTATTAGACTTGGATGTGAAGTTGGATGTTAGGTCTTAATGTATTAAGACCTTAAAAGAAGGTTTTGGGCAATTGAGGCGTACGTCGGGCGTACGAATGCGTACGCTGAGCATACGTGCCTGGGATCCCGACCCATGTGTTGCAATCGAGTATGTTGGGCGTACTGGTGGTACGCTTAGCGTACTCACCAGGGAGCTACGTGGACTTTTTGATTTCGGGCCACCTTGGACTCTACGGTTTTGGTCCCTTGTTGGACCACAAGTCTTTCTGAATTGGGCCATTGTTAGGCTTTGGGGCTTTTGGATTTGGGCGCATATTAGGCTTAGAGTGTCTTTTGGAATTTAGATTTGGACCATGATATGCTAGGCCCAAAAAGGGAAGGGTAAAGCAACCTTTTTTACCCTAGGAGTCAGGATTTAGGATTTGTACTCTCGGTTTGGGTTAATGACCTAATTTCTAATTAGGGTTCTATTATTTGTGATTTAGTGTGGGGATTTTACGATTCAACAGCCCAAGTGTGGTTTGTTTATCTTCAGACTAAGCTGAGCTTCCTTCACTATACTCGTGGGTTGAAGGCACCAATGTCGGCCCACTGAATTATGGTTATAGGATGATAGTTGTCTCCGTGACAATTTCCTGCTATGCCTGTATATGCTTGTTGTCTCTTTGACTCTTGTTGTTATGATTGTATGCTAATTGTAGGGGTGAAATAGACCTGATACCGGTTAAAAGAGAAAAAAGGGGGTGAAATATACCCAATACCAATTGAAAGAGACCAAAGGGGGGGGGGGTGACATAGACCCAACACCGGTCAAAAGAGACCGAAAGGGGTGAAATGTACCCAGTACTGGTTGAAAGAGATCGAAGGGGGGTGAAATAGACCCAATTATGTTTTGATTGTTAGGTATGTATGGTATGCGGTATTTTGAGGGAGCTCACTAAGCTTTGTGCTTATGGTTTTCAGTTTATGTTTCAGGTACTTCCAGCTTTAAAGGGAAGGGCCCGACTTGATCGCACCACATTCGCCCATGTTTTTCGCGTTATGTGATTTTGGGATTTTGTACTCTGATGATATTTCAATACGATATGCTTTTGGTTTTTTTGACATGATTATTGGATGTTTTGGAATGAATTAAAAATGAAAATTTTATCTGAAATTTTTGGGATGTTACAAGTTGGTATCAAAGCCTTGGTTTGAGGGATTCGGGCATACCCTCGAGTGTGTCTGAACTCAAACTGAGGGTTTGGTGAATTTTATAAAAAGAAATATTTTATTAAGGAGTATTTAATAAAAGAAAGGGGTGTGATGCGTGCAATTAGTCGAGCTCAAGTATGTCTTCCCAAAATACTTGTACATGTTATATATTTATTACTATGATATGAGAACCGCATGCTAGATTAGAGCTAAGGAACTGCTTAGTATTGCATGATAGAATGCTAGGAGAGATGTCTTTATGTGCTTATTTTATGAGCTTATAGATCTTCATGCTAGTATGAGATCAGTTATTTGATAGAATGATATGTTTAGGTTATGCTCTGATTCGAATTGCCTAATGCTCAAATGTTATGTGCTTTGTGCTTTTAGGAATTCAAATTAATACCAGCTAACTAGTGGACGAATGCATTTGGTTACATATTGTTGAGATTAGATAATTTTAGAGGGTTAGGTTTAACTCTATTGCGCAGCTCTTGTTTGAGTCCAACCGTTGTAGTGCGAGACCTTTCATTTAAAAAAATATCTAGTATTGATAGTATGTAATTGTAGTCGTGTGGTACTTAGCTGGTATTAGGGGGAGTTCCTTCTACAACTGATAGAGGAGAGTGGTGAGGAAGGGAACCCTTAGGAGTTCATGGGATATGTCTTGGCGCATAGGGCGCTCTATAGTATGAGAAGAGCACTAGATAGAAAGGAAGCAACTTGGAGGATTCGAGACTGTCCTTGGGGAGGGTATAGATAGGTGTGGAAGGTAGTATTGGGCCCGTACTACTGGAAGCACATGATCTATACCCAAAGCAAGTAAGGCCATGATGAATTCAAGAAACTTCGAGAGTGTGAACCTCTTTGTGTGTATAATGATTGTTTATGTATTATGTTTCAGCATGGTGATGACACGCAGTGGGGCAGGAAGTTTAGGATCTAGATCTGGTTCGGGCTCATGCACCGAACCAATTGATGAGGGTCTACGCAAGTTCATCGCGTCTGAGATTACTAGAGGCATCCTTGAGGAGACCCCTGTGATGTTTGGGTTAATCAAGGATGGTATCATCGAGTTGATGAAGGATCACCTTCGAGTCTTTAGGGTCGAT